TATTTACTGTGTCACCGGAAATTTTGTTCTATTGAAGCCCTCCCAGAATTTATTGCAAAGAACTACCCTAAGCCTTATGATTAATAGCAAAAATAAAAATAAAATACTGTTCTTCTGGGGACGTGGCTCTGTTGGTAGAGTGTCTAGCATGTAGAAAGTTCAGGTTTCAGTCCCGAGCACTGCATAAACCACGCATGACTGCGCACACCTGTAATCCCAGCTCTCAGGATGCCGTGTGATACTCCCAAGACATCAAGTACTAAGTGCGTCTCACCTAGAAAATGTCTGGCAATACACCTGTTGAAAACAACAACAACAAAAAAAAAAGGCCAGAGCCAGGCACAGTGGTACACGCTTTAATCCCAGAACTCTGGGGAGGCAGAAGCAAGCAGATCCCATGGGACTTCAAGGCCAGCCTGGTCCACAAAGTGAGTTCCAGGACAGCCAAGGCTGTTACATAGAGAAACTCTGTCTCAAAAAAAAAAAAAAAAGAAAGAAAGAGATAAAGAAAGAAAGAAAGAAAGAAAGAAAGAAAGAAAGAAAGAAAGAAAACATAAGCCAGTGCAGTATGGAGTCTGAAACAAAAAAACAAGCAAAAAAAAAAAACCATTATTCACAAATTGAGAAACCCAACTAAAGTATGTCCTTAGTAGTACAGAAATGTTAAGTGTCTTGTACTGATAAGCATACCATGGCTATCTGAGGTATTGACTTAGGGGGTCGTTGTCAAAGGGGTGAACAGGAATTAAATTATGTGATACTCTGAAATTTTTCATTTACGTATTTATCTACTGTGTGTGTAGAGCAGGGTGGCGTGTACCTCTTAACAGTGCACGTGTGGGGGCCAGAGGAGGACTTGTGGGGATCCATCCTCTCTTCCTGCTGTGTGGGATCCAGGGATGGAGATCAGGTCATCAGGCTTGGTGGGCGGCTGTAAGGGAAGCCTTTTCCTTGAGAAAAGCCTTCCTGCCAGCCTGGTTCTAGAGCCGCATCAGTCCCAAATAAACACACAGGAGGCTATATTCATTATGAAGCTGTTGGCCTTGCTTGTTTCTTACTGGCTGGCTCTGACCTAAGTAATTACCCCATAATTGTTAATCTAATATTTCTCTTACCAGAGAAGTTTCCGGGCTTCCTACCCCATGGCGTTACATCTTGACTCTCTGTGTTTCTCCTACCCAGAGTCCTCCTGGACTCCTAGTCCCACCTATCTTGGTTCCCTATTGGCCAACAATGCTTTATTGACATATACACAGGACTTCCCCCATCAGGCGGCAAGTGCCTTTACCCTCTGAGACATTGCACCAGCCTATTTTCATGTAATCCCTTAGGTAAAAGCATTTTTTCCAGAAAATAAAACCCTGTGGACCCTAGACCCTATGGCACTGGGCGCCCACCCGTTCCTGCGTGTGTAGTATGTGTAATTCCTCCTCTTCTCATGTGTGTGCATGCGTCTCGTGTCTGGGTATTTTTGGTGTGGGTGATGCCAAGTCAGCAAAAGCAGAAGAGCTAAGGAAAAGTGGTGAGTTGCTGGGTCAAGGAGCTCGAGAGGGGCTGGAGAGATAGTGGTCAAGAGCATTGATTGTTCTTCTAGAAGCCCCGGGTTCAATTCCCAGCACCCACATGGCAGCTTACAGCTGTCTGTAACTCCAGTCCCAGGGATTCTGATACCTCATGCACATAAAATAAAGGTAAATAATTAAAAAAAAAAAGAGGCTGAGCCGGGCGTTGGTGGCGCATGCCTTTAATCCCAGCACTCAGGAGGCAGAGGCAGGCGGATCTCTGTGAGTTCGAGGCCAGCCTGGTCTACAGAGCGAGTGCCAGGACAGCCTCCAAAAACTACACAGAGAAACCCTGTCTCGGAAAAAAAAAAAAAAAAGAGGCTGGAGAGAAGGGACACTAGATCAAGGGACAGAAGGGCTGCGAAGGGGCAGAAAGCCAGAGCCTTGCCACACACACTTAGCAGCCAAACCAGAAAGAGGGGCCCAGGCTACCTCTCTAGGGCCATATCCTAAGCACAGCACAAGTGTGACCCCCTTAGCACCAGGTCCTCAGCATCTCCCTAAATATGGAGTCAGGACTCTTATTCTGTAGTCCGGGGAGGCTCTGTACTTGTTCCTTGGTCATGTGCTCCCCCAGGGTACAGGCCTAAGTCCTGAGAGGCACTGGACCTGTTCCAGGGTCACGCGGCTACAGAAGGCAGAGCCTGAGGCTCAAGGTCCCTGCAGGTACCCCAGGCCACAACAGTGCAATGCACGCGTACTCACTTCCTTTTCTCTACATTGGCTGAGCGCAGAGTGGCACTCCTGTCTGGGTGCCCTGCTCGGCACCAGGACCCCAAGCCTGGGTTAGAGGTTAGGGGCGTTGCCAGAGCGCGTGAGTGAACACGGAGGACTTTACTGTGCTGCACCAGCCTGGAGGCCTCACTGCGCCTTCCTGAGGACTGGGGTTATTTAAGACCCAGTGGAGGATGAGGGGACTCTGCCAGAACCGTGTCACCATGGCAATGACGGCAACAGCTCCAGGACGACAAGCACTATTTTAGCCCCGTGAAAATAGAGTCGCATTAACTCAAACAATCACAGGAGACACTAAAAAGGTTTCCCAGCCCCCCCCCCGCCAGCCTGAGCCCCTTAACGACCCGTATGCAACCTGAGCTCTGGGGGCTTGGGTATCAAGCTGCCTGGGGTCAGCTGGGTAGCCATCAACTAAGCCAAGCTCAGGCCCAGAGTATGTATGCAACCGTTCCTGGGTCAAGCTGGCTGGTAGATGCACAGGCAGCCAGACATTGTCCCAGTAGGTCCTCTGGCCCGGCAAGGCTGCGGAATGGGAGAAGCCCCATCCCCCCCCAGCCCCGTACTGCGGATGGTTTTATAAAGCAAGTTGACAGACACAGCAGAACCTAAGCAGCACCCATGTCATGTTTATGATCCTTCCACCTTGAGGACTAGACCCAAGGGAAGACCTGGAAATACATACGGCTCTCGTACCATGTGTTGTCAGTAAGCTTTCTGTGATGGCCAGGTGGGAGGTGTTGGGCAAGCAATACAAGGGAGTCCAACACTACTATGGACGTCGCTTGACCAGTGGCCTATGGCCTTTGAGACGGGAGGTTGCACATTCGGACACATACACCCACCCCCACACGTGGCCCTGGGCCAGGCAGGAGCTACCCTGCCAGGACATAAGGAGGCGTGCCTCCTGCTGGGTGGCACTGGCTCCAGCAAACTAGCAGATGGAAGAGAAGTTGCTGCTCTGCAGGGAGGCTCCAGACGGAGGCCTTGCAGCTTGGCTGTGTCCAGGTGTCTTTCTCTTTGGAGGCTTCCCAGCTCTCCCTTGCAGAGAGAGCAGCTCCGTCAAAAATCTCACATCACCAAAGGTCAGGGGCCTCCCAAGGGCAAGGCCTGCTGGCCCCCTTTACCTTTCCCCTGACAGGGTGGCTTTGTGAACACTTCCCAGGAGTGTAGATTCCTTTGCACCGTTAGACATGACAGCCACGGGGCCATCCTAGACATACGAGTTCAGGGCCCCTAGTTACCCCAACCCCCAGCCAAGGAGGCTGCACAGGAACTTGTGTCCTTGAGCTGTTGAGAGTAAGGATACTGAGGAAGTCCCAGAACAAGGGGTTAACAGCCTCTTGTGAATGAGGGTCACACGCAGACGTGACAGTTACCTGACATGGGCAGAGTGGGCAGGAGTGAGGAGCCAGAGGGACTAGAGTCTTCCTGACACGTTGCCAGGAGTTACCTCAACTTTTCCGGGCCTTGAGTTCCTCACATGTGGTGTGGTGGGCTCTCCCATCTCACCCAGGGAGATAAGCCTGCCAGGCACAGTGCCCTGCCACTGCCAGAAGCCTGTCTTTCTGCGTTTCTTCCCAAAGGCTATTGGCACTTAAAAAGGAGACTTGAACCAACTAATAAAAACAAGTGGTACCCACTGAGAGGCAGCAAGAGACAGACAACGTTCTAGATGCCTGTGAGGAAGAAGCAAGACTGCCTGGTTTCAGGGAAATGCTGACCTCCTGCTGTTGTGACAAAATGCCTGAAAAAAAAATCAAGTTTTTTTTTTCCCACACAGAATCTCATTATGTAGTCCAGGGTAGCCTGGAACTCACTATGGACCGGTTTTATGAGCACTGTGTTAGAAACATAGATGGACAGATACGTTGGTATCTTTCCTCCACGTCTGAATTTATTGAATAATTAATAAATTCACATGTTATGTAGATTTTGTCTGCTGCAATTTGCCAAGCAGTCCTGATTTCCCTTGACAGCTGGCTGTTAGCAAACAGATTCTTTATTTAACTCAATTACTAATATTAGTTCCCAGGCAGAGAATACACATCATACAGTAAACCTTTTCACACACACACACACACACACACACACACACACACACACACACACACAAGCTACGAAAGGGTTAAAGAAGCCGTGACAGAGCTCCAGGGGTTCCAAAAGGCCTTACTGGTGGCACAGGCACAAGACCCCTCTGCGAGTTAGATAATGAACTAGCTCTGTTAGAGGAGCTGCTGGAGGCCCTGCCACAGAGACAAGCCTCAGGGTCATGAGTTGGATCCCAGCCTTAAGTTTGAGCAGAACTACAAAAAGTGAGGGATAGGACCACGGAAGGCACAGAAGCTAAAAATAAAACAAAGGAAAACAAGCAAAAAACCAGAATCGAGTTCAGATGGCTGAGTTAGCAGCAAGAGCAGAGCCAAGCTGAAGGCCCCGGTGTTAGTAGTCAGGATCTGTACTGGCCTGCCTTTGGGGTTCTGACGGGATACGCCCTCAGCTGCAGTCACATAGCGCATTCACTTACCTTCCCTTCTTTTATAAGGGCCCTGTCTACCTCCCCTCCCTCTCTCTCTCTCTCTCTCTCTCTCTCTCTCTCTCTCTCTCTCTCTCTCTCTCTCTCTCTCTCTCTCTCTCTCTATCTCTCTCTCTCTCTATCTCTCCCTCCCTCTCTTCTCTCCCACCAGCCTTGCCCCCAGGGACAGGTCTCTGTCTCTGTTGTCATGCCCCCCGCCCCTTTTTCTGCCCCTTCTCTCTCCTCTTCCAGTAAACCTCCTGTGTGAGTCCTGTTGCTGGGTGTGACTTCTCTTCGTGTCGTTTTTTTAAATTACAGCACCTGGGGCAATCTCTGGTTGTTGGTCCGCTAGATGATCGGGTGACAGGTGTATGTGTGGAGGGGTCACCGCCATTTGCAGTAAGAGGATGTTGCACCCTCCCTCAGTGTGGGTATATTTGATAAGCTGACAGGCAGGGTTGGTTTTCCCGATGCGATCTTAATGTTCCTGTATTCTCGTATGATCCGAGTTTGCTTCCGTGTATGGTCAGGGTGACCCCACGTTTACTTTTTGGAATAAGTTACTCATCAGTTTTTGCCTCGCGTGTGGTGATTGACAGGCGGTACTTAGTCCTCTTGCCTCGGAAGCTACCCTCACACTGAAATCAAATGCTGCTTGTAAAATGGGTCTCCCAGGACAAGGCAGGGCTTCAAAACAAAACAAAACAAGCCACAACATTGGCCTGATCTCAACAGAAATGCAGAATGGCCTTCCAACTCTTAGCTTCAATCCTCAATCCTCCTGCCTCTGTCTCCTGAATGCTGGTGTTACAAACCGTGCCTGGCATGGAAAAAGAAGAAAAAAAAAAAGCAAAGGAGATTTGTTTTGGCTGGCTCACAGCATCAGAGGTTTCAGCTCCTGGTTGCTTGATCCCGTTGCTTTGGGCCTGTAGCAGGGCAGGACATCACAGCAGGGAGCATGGTACGAGAGAGCTCTTCTTTCGTAGCAACCAGGACACTGAGAGACAGGATAGAGCAACCCTTGTCCCCGCCTCCAAAACTCATTCCCTCCCGCTAAGTCTCCCTCCCACCACAAACTAGTGACCAAGCCTTCAACTCAGGGGTCGTTGGAGGATTAAAATCCAAGCAAATGAAGACGTCAGCCAGGCATCAGCGGTGGCGCACGCCTTTAATCCCAGCACTGGGAAGGCAGAGGCAGGTGGATCTCTGTGAGTTTGAGGCCAACCTGGTCTACAAAGCTACACAGAGGAAACCCTATATTTTGAAAAACACAAAACAAAACAAACAAATGAAGACGTGGAGGTCCTGGGAGACTTGCTCAATGTTGTAGAGATGGTGAGTGGGAGAGTAAGACACCAGACTTATTCCAGGGCCAGTGCACCAGGCCACTAGGTGTTAGAACTTCTCAACCAGTGAGAAGGTATTTATTCCGCAAGAGAAAGCAGGCTCATCTACCCCTAATCATACATGTTATATTGGAATCGTGACTTCTTAGCTAGAGGTGTTCTGGTGGCTCTCTGCTTCCTGAGTGTGAATATAGTTTGATAAGCCAGCTTCTCCTTCTGATATCATGCCTTTTGCTATGTCTCTCCTGAGGTGATGGTGGGTTGCATTCCTTCAGAACTGTAAGCCAAAATAATGCTCCCCCCACCACCACCATCCTCACTTAAGCTGGTTTTGCCAGAATCTTTCTATCACAGCAACAGAAGAGAAGGCTTGACCAACTCAGAGAAGGAAACCCCAACACCTTCCCCACATATATGATGAGGATCCCCCTAAGCCTTTCTATGCTGCTCTTTGCCAGGATAATGTGCCCTGTGGAGAGGTCACCTGAAATCCAAAGGGCTTTCATATACAGGATCTGAGCTGACCGAAAGTGTTTTTGCTGTCTCCGCGTGATGGTGGCTGATGAATGCCAAGTGACAGATGGGGTCTTTGCCCTCGTCTGTCTCGTTGTCAATCTAAGAGATCGTGGGCCCACCGTAGGGTTGTATCCTGGTTCCCAGTATACTTTGCCTAGCAGAGCGTTGATGTTGCTTTCTCCACCTGTGGAACAAAAAATAAAATCTATGGTAGAAGCAGCCAAGCCAGAGTCCCTGTGGCTTGGGGATTAACACAAGAGACTCACAGAGGCTGGGAAGAGACAGTCTGGAAGTTAGAGGACACACTGCTCAAGCTTCCATAGGAATGTAGTCGCCCAGGGACTGATGTATGGTCAAGGTAACCAAGGCCAGCACCTGTAAGAGCATTGTGTAACTACATCAGAGGCACCTAAGCCTTGAGAAGTGGGTGGGGAGGGGACTGGTTCACCCAGGCACGGCCTCACTCCACAGGGCTACTATAACTAAGGGGACAGCTGAGCTCAACTCATCAGCCTCCCATTGTCTTTCTCAGTGGCTGAAGTATATGCGAGTGGTATTAGGGGGTGGGTTGCAGGCGACCCTGAGGCTGCACCTGGTTCAAGCAGCGACCGAGGGGGGAGAACAGATCTTGCTTTCTGGTAGTGCCACACCGGGGATGCTCGCTCAGTTTGTAAGCACTGGGGCCCTAGGGGCAGTCATTCACCGTTGGTGGCTAGAGATGATGGAGAGATGCCCCATGGGGTTGCTGCTCACTGCCCTGGGTCGTAAAGCACACCCCAGCCTTTCCTCTTTCCCTTTCTCCCCCTACACGATATTCCATGTCTCCTGCTTCTGGGGTTGCCATCTGTACCGAGCTGAACAACTTCCCCTTAGAATGCTTCAAACCCAGAACCTCAGGATATGGCTTCTTTGGATTTTTGTAGATAATACAGTTATGGTTGAGATGAACCATACTCAAGAAGTTTGGAAACTGTCACCTCCGGTGGCAGATGTTTGTGTAAGAAAGAAGGGACAGAAATAAGCCAGGTGCTGACGGACACAGAGGTCAGGGTGATAAGCTTTAAAGCCAAGGAGTACGGGCAGTCCAGGAAGCAGAGGGAGGCCAGGGTAGAGTCTGCTCTGGAGTCAAGCCTCACTGCTCCTAGGTTTAGGATTTCTGCTCTCCAGAGCTCTGATGGGGCAGGTTTGTAGAAAACAGAGACCCCAGCCCCAGGCTTGATTTCAGCTCCGCTCAAGACGACCATACCAGAGGTCAGCCCTCCATGTGGGCTCCTTTTGATACCCGGCACATCTGGCCTAATCACTAGGAGACTGGCAGGGTTGGATCCTTGAGCCTGGGCTCTTGTCCAGTCCTCGCTGCCAGAGGCCTCTGTCTCCTGACATCCAGGCCCCCTTAGCTCCATCAGCCTCCAGCCTTCGGGGAGGAGTGGCCCACATTCAATGCATGCCCTCCAGCCGGGAGCAGAGGAAGAGGTTATCCCTGCTAGGATGAAAAGCCTCCCACCTGTCACCCTTTGTCCCTGGTGCCACGGCAGGCAGGTTGACATCCTCTTCCCAAGCTGGCTCTCTCTTCTCAGCTGCAGCCCTTGATCTACCCAACCCCCACCCCCCCAGACTTCAGTCAGCTCCTGTCCTCACCGCCGCCGGAACAGAGGCTGGTGTTTGAAAAGCATCAGTCCTTCCCGTCCTTCCGCCTGCCCTGTAAACATGTGGGCAGAAATAGCAGCCTGCGGGGCTGGAGGGAATGATTGCTGGTTGCAGAATCAGGCGAAGGCTGCTGCCCGGGTGGGCCTGGCTGCGTGGGAGCCCAAGGCAATCGCAAAGGCCGCTTTAAATAGCTCCCCGTGGGTACATGCAGCAGAAAGAGGGCAGACTGCGGGAGGCAAGAGGCAGGGCAGAGGCGGGTGCTGAAGCTGGTGGGTTGTGCAGTTTGGACAGGAGTTAGGGCTGCTGGCCTCTGGGTCCAGGTGAACTCAGCAGGTCTAAAAGCTTGAACCCACCCGCCCCTCCCCTAAGGCCTAGAGAGCTGGAGCTGGTCCTGCCTGCTTTCCTGGGGAGTGGGACCTAGGTAGCACTAAGGATGGGAGGTGACGATGAGTAGTCTTGAACCATCTACAGTGTGCACCATCTGGGATTTGGGTCCCCATCCTCAGGCAACTCTCTGAACCTGTGGAGGTGGGAACAATAACCACGTGGGAAACCTTCAGAGCAGAGGTGTAGAGATGGGGGAGCCGGGTGGAAATCCTCTGCCCCTGGGCCATAAGTAGGGACATTCCTGCCCCTTGGATGTCCCAAGACGGCTGGGTTTAAAGTGCCTCTTCGATGTCAGGAGCTGGAATGCCAGCTGACCCAGATCTGGCTTTGCCCAGTGCCCCTACCCCCTGGGTAGCCTGTTAAACCACACAACCTCCCTCATCCTTTTAGCACCAAGCAGCCAAAGTCCCAGGAGGAGGAGTCCTTAGGTCAGAGGTCCTTGAGACGGAAACAAAGAATAAGCACTCATCTGTGGCCTTAGCAGAGGGGCCAATGCCTTCCTCTGCACTTTGAGAACAACTCAGCACCATGTCCCCTCATGAGCCGGGCAGTGACTTTGTGATGTTGCCCCCTACAATGGTTTGGGGCTGTGGAGGGCTGCCAGAGTCCGGGTCCTGCTATATACACTCTTACTGGTTCACTTGCCAGTCACTTGCCAAGCTCCTTAGTGGTTTAGAGTAGGGGCCCACCAGAAGCGATTAAGCAGGGCGATGAGCCTGGCTGACTCTGCCACCTCAAGCTACTAGCTGCTGGCTGTGAAGGGCCCTGGAGCAGACCGAGGATGAAAAGCTGTTCTGCTTAATTGTACCCTTTGTTTCTTCCCGCAAGGAAGACCCCTTTTATTAGGAGCTGCCTATTACATGCTCCGGTGGCCTTTCAGGGCCCTCAGGCTGCTGAGGGACGTCTGTAGGGCCTGAGGTAGCCTCCCGAGTTTCCATTACCTCATCCAAGAAGGCACCTCAGTGGCACCTTGGGCCTGAACCTCCACCAGGTGACCAAAGGAGTAATGAATTCTGAAACCATCCCCCAGGCTCCTGTGTCTCTGCCTTTACTGATGCCTCAGATGCAGCCTCAAAAGCTCACCTTCTGGGATGCCTGCCTGAGCTTCCCTGGTTCCAGATGTGTTTCCAGTTCTGAGATTTTTTTTTTTTAGGAAGGCGTTTCAAGGGTGCGTGGCTCTGGAATCCGGGGCTCTCCACTAACGCTCCCAGACACGCTTCTGTCTTAGTGAAAATGACCCCGACGTAGCCCGGAGACGGGGACAGGACAGATACCGATGAATGCATCATGCTGGTGACATCAGCTCTGATTCTTCTCCTTCCCCAGTGCCATGCTTTGTTAGCCAGCCTCCTTTTGGGGACCCCTGGACCCATTTCTTCCTCCCCCCACCCCGAATATTTACCCTAGACTTGATGAGTTTCCCTAAGCTGCCCCTAACCCCTCATCCTTATCTTGCCCTGTGGCAGAAACGCATAGTCAGAGAAGACCTCAGTGCAAACTGCCGTGTGCAACGAAGACAGTAACCAGCCGCCAGGCCATGGCTTTATTTCATGCTGGGACCAAAGAGGCCCTGTGGTGCCCTTCTCCCCCAGTTCACCAGGAGAGCAGTCATCCACCCCCTCCACCCTCCTTCTCTCTGATCCTGATCCCACAGAGCAAAAGCCTAGAAATCAGGTTCACCCTGAGTCTAAAAATTCACAGCTCCCAAGGGCCCTCCCCCAGCAAGCGCCCGGCTCAGCTTCAGGGTCAGGCCAGCTATGGCCCTCTATGCAAAACGCCATCCTGCTCCATTCTGCAAGAAGTGCTTGAGTGGTCCTTAGGGCAAAGCTGAGGAAAAGCTCGGGAAGCTGCGCCCTCCTCCCTGACCCACTTTGAGACCCACAAAGAGGGCTATTGCTCCGGGACTTTCTGGCAACCACCACCCCAGCAGCGGGGAGAGTGAAAGCCCTGCTGTCACATGGCGTACGCCGCCCAGTAGACGATATTGACAGCTGCGAAAGCCGCAGGGAACACAGCTCGGGCATAGATGTCGATGGTGTCTGCATCGATGGGTTTGAGCCTGGAACGGATGCCTCCCGGGCCCCCCCGGGCGGGACGCCCCCTCTTTCTTTGCCTCCACTTCCACGGACCTGTAGGAGCCCATGAGGTTCCCGGGGACACGGCCCTGGCGACGGGAGATGGCCAATTCCTGGCTGACCCCAGCAGCCGAGAGGGAGAAGAGGACGATGGCGTTCCTCACATCCATCTGCAAGGGGGGGGGGGGGGAGACAGGAGGACAGGTGCTGAGGGTTTCCCTGACTGGCAGGACTGTTCAGGACCCCGTTGAGGCCAATAGGAGGATTCCTGTCCATGCAAAACAGCAAGCACCAGCTCTACAACAGACTGTGCTGAGGAGCCAGTCCCGGGACAGGGACTCAGGGGTCAGAAGTGACCTTCTTAGAGCCGGCCAGCAGAAGAGCAAGTTCTTTCTGTTCCCTTGTACCCGGTAGGAATCCATCCTTGATTTTTTTTTTTCCCCACCGTTGATTCTGAACCCTGAGACTAGGCCCACCCACCCAACCTCTCACCTCCGTCCTTGGCTTTGTGACCTTGACCTTGGCCTTCTGCTTCTTCCTGTAGTCGGCGTTGAAGTGGGCGAATGCGTACTCCACCAGGGCAGCAAACACAAAGACGTAGCAGATCCAGAAATACACATCCAGAGCCTTGATGGCGGAAGCCCGCGGCAGGGAAGAGCGGGCACTGACCATGAGTGTGGTCATTGTCAGCACAGTGGTGATGCCTGGTGGGAACCGGGTGGCCGTGGCTGGAGCCCCGCCATTTCTTTGCCACCCCCGGCCAGCAGGGCCCGGGCCTCAAGAAGAGGGCAGCTCCCCAGCCCGCTGTTCCCTCCCTAAGCTCCCGAGACCAACCCTGTTCCCACTAACCACTGCACAGGGTAGACAGGATGGAGGTCTAGAGGTCAAGGGATTGTTCAGGACTAGCAGGGTGGCCCAGGGCTTGTACAGCCCTCCCGTCAGCTCACGGGGAGGGACAGATAAAGCCTCGTACCTAGAGATACCCTGGCGGGCACCGCTGCCTGGCTAATCCAGAAGGAGACCCAGGACATGGCGACCAGGAGGACAGAGGGCATGTAAGACTGGATGATGTAGACACCCCGGTTCCTCCGAAGCTGGAAGTGCAAGCTGAGCCTCGGGAACTGGCCGGCTGTGGGGGCGGGGGGGGGGGCAACCCACCGTCAGATGAGCTTAGCTTCCACCCACCCTCGCTGCCATCGACCCCCGCAGGCCTCTCAGGGAGGGGACTTGGTCGGTTGTTTGGCTCACTGTGAAGCTCAGATGGAAGGCCCTAGAAAACCCGCCTGCCATAGCTTGCCCTAGGTCTGGCCGCAAGGATGATGTTGGGTCACCCAGACAAAGAAGAGAAGGGTTCCAAGTTCAGTGAATTGGTTCTGAGCAACCTGTCCAGCTAATGGCAGGGTAACTGCCCCCCCTCCCCGCCCCCACATGCACACCTCTGTGCCTTCTGCCCTACTCTATGCTCTAAAAGGAAAGGCGGGCCAAGGACGGCCTGAGGATTAAGGGCCTGCGACACGCACGTGCATGTTCCCCCTAAGCCCCGAGTACTGGGAAGAAATGACCCAGGAATAAGAAGGCAGGAACCTGGCTATACGACATGGCAGTATGTACCCATTCCACTGGGGCATAGCCGGCAGCACCCAGTTTGTGCGTAGCTCAGCGTTTTCCCAGCTGCATCCCCAGCCCTCAGAACGGGCTGGCAGCTCACAGTTATAAAAGCACAAGGGACCTGCAGGCAGCTCACAGGAGCTCCCCCCAACCCCTCCACGTTACCGGATTTGAAGTTCATCAGCTCGGTGGTGAAGCGGTAACTGGTGATGGTGAACTGGGCCAGCTGCAGCCTGTCCAGCCCGTGGATCTGCTCCTGGTTTTCTGACCAATAATAGACGATGTCCTCAGAAGAGTAGCCATCTGTAAGAGAGCCCACGGGTGGGCAGCAGGGTCTAGCTGCGCCCTTGGCGGTCTCAAAGAGAGAGAGAGCCTGAGGGGTGGGGCTGACCAGGTGACAGCCAGCGAGACCTTATCCAGTCAGACTCGGTTGGGGGAGAAGGGAGTGTCCTTGACTCCGGCATACCACTCTGCATCTCTGGGAAGGCTGACGGGGCCAGAGGTGCCAACAAAATTGGAGCCATCATTATCAGAGGTCTGTCGCGTTGGGAGAGCCTGGTTGCCACAGCCAGATTTTCAAGGCTCTTTTTCCTCCTGTGCTAAGCTCCCTTAGTCCTTCCAGCCTATTCTCCTCCAATACAGGCTACTGGCTCACGGGAAAGCCCTGTACTAGAAGCTCCCCGTGTCCTCTGATCCAGGCCAGCCTGGTCTGCTGCCCACTGGAGGAGCCAGCACAGCCCCAAACAGAAAGGAGCCTACCCCACCTCATGGAGGGCACTCACAGCTCTCCAGGTCCAGCATGCACTCCTGTTCATCCATGGGGTACTTGGCGAGGTCCATGTCGCAGGCCACCGTGGAGGTGATGCTG